ATCCGAACGGTTTATTCAAAAACGGCCTCGGGAGGGCTAGATCTACATAGGTAGATCCCGATAGCCCTCCCCATTCATCGTCCAAAGATCGTTCCTTTCGTGCTTTTCAAATCAAGAGAGATACACAAAGCGGGGAATAGCCACATGCAAGCCAAGAATACACTGAATCGAAGGTAAAAAAAAGAAAGAAAATATACCTCTTTTATTTCTTTTTCGAAATGCTCTACAAGTGTTCGGACTCTCTTTGCGTTTGCTATTGTGAACTTGTGTGTGTGTTTGTCACGTAGTAATCTCTCCCTGATTCCGTGAACCCCCCTCAAGTGGGTTTGATTACTGATATTTATAGGAGTAAAAAATCCTATTTTTAGATGTGGTTACAGAGTCCTATTCTAACCCTATTTATTGGTTGTTGGTGTTGATACCGAGATCCTTACGCCGTACGTTCCGGGGTTGGAGTCCCATATCCACGAAGGTGGTTTATTGCCGGGAAGTACGGGGGAGAGGCGTGAACAGTGAAGACTCGTGAGGCATGGGGTCTTTGCATGGCTGGAAACAAGGGATGCGGCGCTAGCGTTCGACATGGAAGCTGATGATCACTAACCAGGCCTTCTGTTGGACCCTCTTGTATTTACCGGGCCATATGTGATCTTGGCTTTGGGCCCGACAGACTGCAAAACAAATATATATATGTAAATACGACATATGTAATAAAAGAAAATATATAATATAATATAAGTATATTATATAATATCAAAAAGACAAAATATGGTGTCTTCAGTAGGATTTGGGTTTTTTGGAGAAAAAATTGGGACTTTGATGTGTTACAGATTTTTGATCAATTGGTTTCTATTAGGGGTGTTGTGGTAGATTATTCTATGGTTATTTCTGTTGCTTATGGTTTTAATGATGTTACTGTAGGAGAAGGCTTTGGAAAAGTTTGAAGGATATGAAGGGTGTGGTTCTCTTCCCCTTGGGTTATAGGGGTGATTTCAACATTTTTGCTTATGCGGATGAATGTTCGGAGATGGTTCATGGAACTGGTCTATTAATTACTGATATAAGGGAGTTTGGTGACTGTGTTGAGGAGTTAGGACTCATTGACCACCCATTTTTAGGACCTCTTTACACTTGATCAAACAAGTAAAATGGGAGATTTTTTGGCAATATAGCTTGATAGAATCCTTGTTAATCCCAAATGACTTGATGTTTATAAAGATTCATTTGTGGAATTTCAAGCATCGGGGGTTTCAAATCATTGCCTTGGGGTTATTTGGTTGTTAAAGCTGAACCCAGTTTCTCACCCAAAACCGTTTAAGTTTTTTTAATTTATGGGTGGAGCATCCTAATGTTTTGGATGTGGTTGTTGAGTCATGGAAATGCCTATTCAAGGTGATCCTATGATGGTTCTTTTTAAAAAAATGAAGTGGCTTAAAGCTGTTTTAAGGAAGTTCAATAGGAAATACTTTTGTGATATTTCTTCAAGGGTTAAGCTGCTTCGGCAGGAATTGGAGAGAGTTCATATTGTTAATCTCTCTTTTGGTAATGTTGGATATGATTTGGAACACGAGCTAAGAATTCAGAGGGATCCGACTGCCCTTGAAAAGGATGAGCTGTCTTTTTATAGGCAGAAGGCCAAAATAAGTTGGATTAGTGATGGAGGCCGATATACTAAATTTTTTCACTCTATGGTGACAAAGAAAACTAAGAAAAATACAATTCGAAAACTCTTGATGATCAGGGAGTTAAGTTAGAACTTTTGAGAGTAAGTCTAATGAGGTTGTTGTATTTTTCAGTCATTTATTGGGCACAAAGGATAATGAAGTGCAGGGTTGTGATGTGGAGACTTTGAAGGAGTTGGTGGATTACCAGTTACTTTTTGGCACTGCTTAAGTTCTTACTGGGAAGGTTATAGATGAGGAAATTAGGTAAGTTATTTTTTGATAGGGATGAGAAGGCCCTCGGACTAGATGGATTTACATCACGCTTCTTTAAATCTACCTGGGTTGTTATTAGGGTAGATTTCAGGGATGTTATCTGAGCATATTTTGATGGATCTCCTTTGTTAGCTGGGTTTAATGCTACTACGGTGGTCTTGGTACCTAAAATTCCTAATCCCTGTAGAGACAAGGATTTTAGGCCCATATCCTGATGTTCGGTGGTGTATAAGACAATTTCCAAGATCTTAGTGAGACAATTGTCTATTTACTTTCTAGGCATAATAGCCTTGAACCAAATTGCCTTTGTTCAAGGCCGAAGTATTGTGGATAACACACTGGTGGCCCAAGAGATTGTGAGAGGATATGCTAGGAGATCTTTCTAACCTAGATGTTTACTTAATGTGGATCTTATAAGGCGTTTGACTCTTTGAATTGGGAGTTTGTTCTCAATGTGCTTGAGGCTATGAGGTTGCTTGGGTTCTTCAGAGGATAGATTAGTGGTTGTTTCACTTGTGTTCGGTTCTCTATATCGTTCAATGGAAGCCTAGTGATTCTTTAAAGGTGAGAGGGGGTAAGACAGGGATATCCCCTGCTCTGTATCGGTTTATATTGACAAGGAATGTCTTGTAAAGGCTTTTAGATCTTGCTATTGCTAAGGGGGTTTTCAATTTCACTCGCGTTGCAAGAAGGTGAGATTGACAAATCTTTGCTTTGCGAATGATTTACTTTTACAAAGGCACGTTGGATTCTGTAATTGGAGTTCAAAGTGTCATGGATTAGTTTTATGTGTATTCTGGGATAAAGTTTAATGTTTCAAAGACTGAATTATATATGTTTGGGGTTTTTAAGGATGTATTAAAGAGCATTCGAGTACTACTGGGTTCCAGATGGGACAACTACCAATGCGTTATTTAGGGTACCTCTGATTACTCAGAGGCTATCAAAGATTGATTGTGCTGCTCTTCTTGATTATATTAAGAAGAGGTCAGGGCAATGGTCTACAAGGCACCTTAGTTACGGAGGAAGATTGCAACTCATTAAGTCTGTCTTGTTTAGTATCTCTAACTATTGGTGCAGGCAACTTATGCTTCCCAAGAGTGTGCTAAATAGAATTGAGCAATTGTGCACTTGGTTCTTTTGGAAAATGGATGATGTTTCTGCTATGGGTGCTCTAGTTAATTGGAAGCAAATTTACTCCTTAAGATCTAAGGGTGGTCTTGGTCTTAGGGATATTCATACATGGAATAAGGCTTGTTTGATGCAATTGATTTGTAATACCCTAGCTGGTCAGGGTTCTCTATGGGTAACGTGGATTAAAGAGTATGTGTTGCGTATGGTGGATTTTTAGCATGTAGAGGTTGGGGTTAGCTCGAGTTTGTGTTTCAAGAAGCTTTTGAACTTGATAAAAAAGGCTCTTCCTTTGTTTTCTCTGTGTGGGGATATAAGTAAGGTTAAGGCGCCATGGTTTTGGATAAATCTTTGTGGGGTTCAACCGAGAGTGAATTGGCACAAGATAGTTTGATTTCCTCTACGTGTTCCCAAACATTCGATCATTGTTTGAATATCCATCTTGAGAAGTCTTCCAACTAATGACAGGTTAGTGCGAATGGGAATGAATATTGTGGAGCGTTGTTTGTTGTGTGAAGGGAGATCGAAGAGTAGAGATCATATTTTTCATGAATACCCCTATTCGAGTGCTATTTGGATTGTCATTTTAGAAATGTGTGGTATAAAGAGAGGAGCTCAATATTAGCAGGAAGAAGTGGATTGGTTGGTTGGTCACTTGAAGGGTAAGTCGTTGATTGTTGTCATTCTTAAATAGCCTGGACTACTTTCATTTATTATGTTTGGGAAGAGAGGAATGCTAGGTTGTTTAATAAGCCTAATAGAGAGTATACTATGGTTTTGGACGCGATTAAGGGGGTAGTTTGCATTAGACTGCAGGGAAAGTGTATTAATAGAGATGATATTGTGAATGCTAGACTTTGTGCTAGATGTGAGATCGAGGTTTAATTGTGGGAAAAATTTGTGGGTGTGATTGTGGGTTTGGTTGATGATAGGGCTTTGTACTCTGTTGATTGTAGCAGTTTTTACTGCTTCCTTTCTTTTGGAAAATAAAATTGGCTTATCCAAAAAAATATTTTAATTTTTTTGAATATTTTTTTTGAAAAAGATCATCTTGGATGAACATATTTAAATCAGATAAAAATTAGATTCAAGGATCGGTTGTGCTTAGGAAGGACAAAACACCCATCGCACTTAAAAATGTTATCTCGTTATAAAGGAATCAATTGTCGCAAAGAACAAATTAGAAGCCATCTCAATAATAATATTTATACTGAATTAGATACCATAAATATAAATAATAAATAATAATAATAAACATATCTAAAAGACCTCAATAGATTAAAAATTTAACCTCATACATAAAATTTAAAATTAAAATTTAGATAATTAGACTCGGGAAGGGTTTTCATGAGATTTTTGGTTTGAATCTCGACAATTGTAGTACAATCTTTTTTTAGAAAAACTAAACGATCCTTATGTAATATTATTATTCTATGTTAACTTTCACATTAACATAGTAACAGTCAACCTCAATAAAAAAAAACCATTCAATTCATTTTATTAATTTGTGCACCTGAAAAATAGAGGCACAACCTTTGTATATTTGAATATATTCAAGAATCTCAAGAGAAGCACGAATCAAATAATTCATGAAAAAAATATTTGCTGTTCTTTTAAAATTTTGAATTCGTACACTAAAAATATCGAAAATATATTGAACATTTAATATTAAATGTTTAAAAATTATTTTTGAACGGATGAGACTTTGTACTTACCACGTTGAAAATCCATAACTCAATCAAAGGCATTAAAAAGAAAAAGATAACTAAAATGTTAGAATAAATAATTGAAAATAAAACCCTAAATAATATACAGAACTTAATTTCTTATAAATTTGGTAAAACTTAAGAAAGAGTCGGTGCCTCGTTCTAAATAAGAAAACAGCTAAAACAAAAGTCATCATATTTTTAATTCAAACAGTCTTCCAACCCAAATATTCTATTCCGAGCCTCTTATCGATTAACGTTTCCCAAACGCTGCTTTCTTTTTCATTACCCATCGCTTTATATAGAGATACAATTTCACACTCGGATTCAAAGCTTTCTAGGAAAATAAAGAAAGATTCGAGCTCTGGGTATTTCTGGGTTTCAAGATTAGAGTTGAAGGTTTATTTTGTTTTCTGACAATGGAGAGTTCTGTGAGGATAATTAATGGTGGTAAAAGTTGGTGTTCGTGGATGCAAATCAAGGAAAAAAGGAAGAAGAGTACGAAGAATACTGTTAGAGTTCTTTGTTCTTCGTCTTCGTCTTCTATTATGGATCCTTATAAGACTCTCAGGATCCAACGCGGTGCCTCTGAATCTGAGATCAAGAAGGCATTCAGGCAACTTGCTCTTCAGGTACTTTTTAATTTCTCTCTGATTAAAGTTTTTAAAATTTTTTTTTCCATGGGTTTGATTTTGGGAATTCATTGATCGATCATTGGGCTTTTGTTTTTGTTTCAGTATCATCCGGACGTTTGCAGAGGAAACAATTGTGGAGTTCAGTTTGAGACGATCATTGAAGCCTATGATGTATGTTTTTACTTTCTCTTATGGGTAAATTACAAGTTAAATCACTTAAATTTCTTCTCAATTCTGTTTTGGTTACTAAAGTTTAATAATTTTAATTTAATTGTACTTTTGATTTGCTCCTATCTTGATTAATCAATCGTTAAATATTTAACGACGTTATGACGAAATGTTTTTCTTTTAAAAGTTATAAAATTACAATGATTTTTTTAAAAAAATCCTAATTTTAGAATCTTTTTATTTCTTAACGATGGAGCACCTTACTTCCAATCTTAATAGTAGGGAGGTGGAGAAGAAGAAAACCAATTGTATATATTGATTCCACGTTGATTGGATGGTGGAAATAACAGATAGAAGTTGTTTGGAGTTTCGTAAGTATTAAGTTTGGGGTTGAATTTCGCAAGTTTTAAAGACATGAGTTGAATGGTCGGAGGAAGACACCAAAAAATAATGAATTCATAATCCACGGCACATGAACTAAAACAAAACTTTCATCTTTAGAAATAGATGAAATAAAAAAATAATAAGAAAATGACCTAAATGACACCAGGATGCTACGCCGGTAAACAATTAACATCAACACAGGTAGCTTCCATGTTATCTTTTTATTTTTGATTTGATGATCGTTAAAAAAAATTGAAAGTTCAATAAATAAATTGAAAATTTTAAAATTTTAGTAATAAAAGGTAGGAGTGAGAAAAAAGTTGACTTAGTAATTTACATTCTTTTGTTTTTTTTGCAATACATCCTTCTCTTATTTTTGTTATTAAGTCCTATTTTTCTTTAAAAGAAAATATAGTTTACGTATTAATTAAAAATAATAATATATTATTTTAGGGGATTGAGATTATTTGTACAATAACTATCAAAGTCGTCGATTTTATTAAATTTGGTGACAATTGTCAACCACTTCAGAGTTATTGCAGAAATCAACTCAATCCTCTAAATAATTCGTCAGAAACACCATTTTTCTGTTTTTTTACTATTATTTCCCCCTAATTTTGTAATTAATCGTTTGTTTTTTTATGATAATTTAAATATATTTGCAGATTGCGATGAGTAATTTGAGAGGGGAATCACAAGATCCGGAGCCATGTAATGAACAAGGAATGGAAAACCCTGAATGGGATTTATGGGAAGAGTGGATGGGATGGGAAGGAGGTGGAATTCGTGACTATTCTTCCCATATTAATCCTTATATTTGAACATAATTCTTCATCAACCCCTAATTTAATTATTATATGATCAGTGACTCCCCACAATTTTGCAACCTCCTAAAACGGTAGTTGTATGTAAATGCCCTTTTATTTTATATACAAAAGATTGTGGGATGATTCATTTTTTATGTATATAATTTGTATATTCATAATGTATTGCATGTATGTATCTGTGTGTGGATATATGTGTGTGTGGATATATGTATGCGTGTGAACATTGCTTCATGCTTCAATTTATATATGAATTATGTTCACTTTTATGATTTAAGTCTTCTTTAATGCCTACTCCTTTATTATCATCCATATTATTTTATCATATGAAGTAATAAACTCGACTCGTAATTTTTATAAATTGATTCAACTAAAAAAATCAATTTTGAGTTGAGTTATGAAATAGAACTTAAATAACTCAAATAACAAGTTTTGAGTAATTAGTAGATTGATTTTTAAGTTTGGGTCGATTCTCTTAACTTTGTATGATATATGTAAATCACATATGAAAAATATGAAAAAATATATGTGTATTATATATATGTATAGAAAACCGTTTAAATTGGAATCAAATATTACCATAATACTATAAATATTTATAATTAAATTTAAACCTAAACTCAAACAACTCGATTTAACTTGATTTTTATAAATTCGACTTAAATTAACTAGAAAAAATTTAAATAAAATTTAAGTTATAAAATATCAGTTGTTAACTCAAATATTTTTTTACTTGATCTACGTTAACCCGTAATTAAATATACATGTTTTAATCCTTTTCTTTCTTCCATGTTAGAGATTCAGTTGTGTATTGAGACTTTTAAATTAAACTGTGTCCAAATAGTAAAGTAATAAACTGATTGTTTTTATATTCAAGGAAGAGACAGCTTTCAACCAATGGGTGGTGGCGCGGTTGGCTGGCGCGTAGGTCTCATAGCTTCCGAAGTTATCTTGAGGTCGAGAGTTAGAGCCTCTCTCACCCCAAACGTTAATTATTTTTTTTCTTTCTCCCCCAAAGATGCAAAGACTGCAACCGGCATTTTGTTAGCTACAAAGCATTAAGTTTACATAAAGCATTCATCCATCGTATAAGCAACCATCCTGGCTGCTTCCTCCATAACCAGCTTAATTCGACTTGGAAGCAGACAAGACATGGGCATCGCACAAATTGTGGAAATTGAAGTTTTCATCACTATTCATTCATTCATAGCTGCACAAGAAATGCAGTCAAGTTTCTATTCTTTCCTGCTTCTCACCTATACTATATATCATTTGATGTCCCTAGTAATTCTCTAGGGAAACCATAACCAAGAATCACATCCTTCCTAGATCTTGTAGACACTAATTTTTGACCTTTTTATTATTATTTTAATTATATTATTATTATTATTATTATTATTATTATTATTATTACATGCCCAAAGTAAATAAAAACCCAATCCAATTACACAACCCGGAGCCCAAAATACAAAGAAAACCTAAGGAACCCATGCCCAACACCGGACTCAATAGACCCATATTTGGGTTGACCCGATACCCAACCCGATCCAGACAACCCAGTAGAACCCTCATAGGGTTTTCATCTCAGCTTCCATCCGCTAACACCATCAGCCGCTAGATCTGGAGAGATCCAACGGCCAAAGAGGAGCCAGAAGAAACCCTAAGGTATCATAACCCTAGGGACTACGCCGACCGCAGCTTCTGACACCCCACTCCAGCAGATTCCACGGCTCCGCCACCTCACCCGAATACCTCCAGAAGACATGAGAATAGTCGCACACGTCTAAGCCTAGGGTGAGTCGCCACCATAGTTTGGGGACTCACTGAAGACTGCCTTATTATCCGGTCCGAAGGAAGCTTCGTGGTGGCTATAAAAGCCACCGAACCTGCGAAGGAGAAAGACACGAGAGAGCAAACCCACACAACAATCAAAACTACCAAATATCAAACAAAAAATAAAGGAGAGAAACTTACCGAAGACTGCATGGTGACAGGAGCTTCCACGCGCCTCCACGCGCCGCCGAAAGAATCGAAATACCGAAGGTATTATCGTAGATATACTCCGATTAGGAGCTTTTTAGGGGAAACTAAGTCTGGATTAGCCTTAGGGTGTTCGGGGATTCATTTTGGTATAAGTTGGTATTTTTCGGCCACTGTGGACGGTGATCGGCGATGGTGGTCAGCGGCGGCGTCAGGCGACTGGTTTCCCTCCGACGAGGGAAACCTAGAGAGAGGTGAAACAAAAAAAAAGAAAAATGAGTGTTGAGGCCCTTTTTGAGGCCAGATTTGGGTTTAAATACCCTCCCCATACGACGTCGTTTTGGGAGAGGGGTATTTACGTAATTTCCCTCGGGAGAAAATCACGTTCGTAGTCCCCCTTAGTTTGTAACCTTTCAATATAGTCACTAAAATCAATTTCAGCACCTTTCTAATTCATTCTTTTAATTTTAGTTTATTATATTTTAGTCCCTACTATGTTTATACATATATTTAGGGTAAATAACATATTTAGCCCCTATAATTTTAATAATTCATATTTTAATCCCGAATAATTGATTAAAGCTAAATTACACTATTAGTACCTAGACTTCATAATATTTCGAAGTAAGATCTTTAATTTTGATATTTTATATTTTAAACCTTGATAATTTAAATAAATTGTATTTTAGACTATACATATTATTACTTTTTAATTTAATCCTATAATTTTAAATTTTTTAATATTTATATTTATATTTAGGTATAATTTGACTTATTTTATAATTGAATTAAAGGATAATATTTATTTATTTTTAAATATTAAGAAAGGGTTGTCTTAAGGCAACTAGATGCCCTATTCTGATATTTTTTAAATAAATAAATAGCATGCTTATAAAACTCTAAAAAATATACTTATTTTATTTTTGGTTATATCAAAATTATTTAATATAATTTCTTTGGAAGAATAATCATATTCTATTATTTCAGTTGAAAGAAAAATATTCGTCCTAAAACAATTTAGAGATTATATTCTCTTCAATTGGAAATATTGGAATATCTTTTATTTTTCCTTAGAATTTTTCTATAATTGAATATGGAATAATATGATCATAAATTAAATTCATATTTGAATTCTTAAACTTCTACTACGAGACAATTTATATTTAATGGGTACCAATTTTAGGCGTTGTGGTGTGCTAATCATTCCCCAAACAATCGACCACAAATATATTTGCAGATTTCGATGAGTAATTTGAGAGGGGAATCACAAGATCCGGAGCCATGTAATGAAGAAGGAATGGAAAACCCTGAATGGGATTTGTGGGAAGAGTGGATGGGATGGGAAGGAGGTGGAATTCGTGACTAGTCTTTCCATATTAATCCTTATATTTGAGCATAATTCTTCAAATACCCCTAATTTAATTATTATATGATCAATGACTCCCCACAATTTTGCAACCTCCTAAAATGATAGTTGTATGTAAATGCCCTTTTATTTTATATACAAAAGATTGTGGGATGATTCATTTTTTATGTATTTAATTTGTATATTCATAATGTATATTGCATGCATGCATGTATGTCCGTGTGGTGTGAACATTGCTTCATGCTTCAATTTATATATGAATTATGTTCACTTTTATGATTTAAGTCTTCTTTAATGCCTACTCCTTTATTATCATCCACATTATTTTATTATATGAAGTAATAAACTCGACTCGTAATTTTTATAAATTATTCAACTAAAAAAATCAATTTTGAGTTGAGTTATGAAATAGAACTTGAATAACTCAAATAACAAAATTTGAGTAATTAGTGGATTGATTTTCAAGTTTGAATCGATTCTCTCAACTTTGTATGATATATGTAAATCACATATGAAAAATATGAAAAAAAATATATGCATTATATATAGTTATAGAAAACCATTTAAATTGGAATCAAATATTACCATAATACTATAGATATTTATAATTAAATTTAAACATAAACCGTTTAAATGCAGTCAAGTTTCTATTCTTTCCTGCTTCTCACCTATACTATATATCATTTGATGTCCCTAGTAATTCTCTAGGGAAACCATAACCAAGAATCACATCCTTCCTAGACCTCACAAATTTGACCTGTACCCGATTACTCGAACTGATTTACTCTATCCGAGAACCGATACAGAATGGAATAGAACAACCTAAAGTGATCTGAAACTCGAAATAAACTGAACTGAAATGAAACCGACCTTAATTTTAGTTGGACTGAAAATAACCTGAACCGAAAGCAACCCAAACCGAAAATAACTCTAACCGAAAATAATCCGAATATGATTTATCCATATCCGAACAGAACCGAATTTCAACCCGATTTTAATCAGATAATTGATTCTAAGTGAATGAGATCAAAGGATAATACTTTTACTAACAATTTAATGGTTTAGAATAATCTTTCTTCAGTTAAAAAAATCATCTTTACATTTGATGCAATAACTTCTAAATTATTTCAAAATATTATTTGATATGAAGGATTACAAAATAAAATTACTCAAACCAAAATTTTTAATTTATGTGATAATTTTGAATCACATTATTTAGACGATTGACTATATTTAACTCTAAAATAAAATAAATTTTAAATGCAAGTATTAAATAAAGAGCTCTCATTCAAAACTGATATGAAAATACAAATCAAGTCAAATATTAACACTCAACTATTCAACTATTCTTGCATGTCAAACTCAATTATATTCTTTTAAAAAATAATTTCTTAGTACAACTTAAAAAATTGTCTCTCAAAATTAAACTCAAGTATTCAACCATATTAAATCCTATAATATCAGTAAACACAAGTAGCATATGCATCAACTATTAGACTTTGTTGTAGTCCAATCCACATTAGAGCAAATAAAATCGTAATCTTCCGTGGCTGCAAAAAAAAAAAAAAACAAAAAAAATTAATTTATTTAAATTATTAGTGAAAGAGGAAATTAAACAATGTAAATTTTTATTTAAAGCAAACATACGTAATAAACTAGTAATTCATGAAGATAATATAATAAAATAATTTTGTAGGAAATAAAAATAATAATAAAAAACTTACATTCATAACCGAACTGTAACACCCCAACCCGTACCCGACCCGGAT